CTTTGTAAGCTGTAAATTTAAGCAAGGGCATAGAAAATGCAGTATAAATTTGGAAGGGAAAAATTGGTATTGCAACTTTTTAGAGATACATCAGAACCCCAGTTTATCCGAATTTTGATTAACCAAGTTTCCTTGTGTTGAATTGTAGCAATAATTCAAACCATAAAGACAGGAACTCTATTATTACTGTGTTTGAGCTTGGCAGCCTCAATTCTTGTACACCTTAAGTGAATAATCAGATTTTTAGTTTTCACACAGGAGTCCGAGTACTTAGCTATTCAACAACAGAGCAGAGTAAGAGTTTTTTTTTTGGGTGGGTTGTGGGAGGGTTGGGGGCTTTTTTTTTTTTTTTTTTTTTTTTTTTTTTTTATTTTGCATGTGCTCTAGTGACTGCTTACTGAACAATGATCAGTGAAAGAAAATGTGTGATTTTTATTCTTAGAAGAAAGTTTTCTATTAGCAGACTAGATCAAATGTAGCTGGTGGTTGGATGGATAGTGGTACAATGTGAAACTATCTACCATTCTGAAAAGCTAGGAAAATATTTTGCTGAATGACAATAACACTACAACACAGATTCGAGAATGACGAAGAATTAGTGGCTATCTTAAACCAGCTACTAGTTACTACTAGCGAATAAATATGTAACATATTGGATGCAAGATGATGAATAGTTTGAACTGTCTGAGGAGATTGCTATAAATTTAGTCACACACAATGAGAATTCTGATGACAAAGGACAAGGGAAATTGTTCAAACCAAGACCAGTCACACAGATTGCTTGAACACGATCAAAAAGGCATTGCTGTATGCTGAACAGCAGGATTACATACCAGCATCCGGCACAGATGTCTATCTGATATGGCAGCAAGAAAACAAGGCAGCACAATGAAACATATGTTATGCACAAATTAACAAATGTGACATTTGTTATGTATACTGTACAGCTAATTTATATTACAGGTCCATGTTTTCAGGATTAAAGTGTCTGTCATATTAGTACTACATGTATATCTGTAGATTTGAACAGACATATGTTTTATATCACTATGTATCTGCTTGAATCCTGTCTGTTAGTAAGTTTCCAATAATATGTACAATAAGGTAAGTATTAAATTTTTCATTACTTTTGTATTAGCGCAACAACGTTAGTGCAATTTGATTATTTTTTACCAATGAAAAAGTAAAAGTTACTTATAGGGTGCAAGTTTTTTTTTCGCGATTTTTTAAAAAAGATTCCGGAACTATTGATATTTATCGTAGGTTGGCAAGCCGAGTGGTAAAGTCATTAAACACTGGTAGTTTTAACCAAATTCATACTCCAGGAAACCGGCTGCCTACATAGGTGTGTTTATAGTCTTCTTCATATGTAATGTGGATATGAGACAGTTTCCTTAAGAAAATCCTCCAAAAAGGCATCCCTTCCCTTAGTCAGATATCCCTCACATGCTTTATCATAAAACAAATCAGCCTTTCCAATAGAATGTTTCACCTTTCACATATAGAGATTTTATCTAACTATTCGTAGAATCCCTGAAATTAGACTTTGAAGTATTTCTTTGCATGTCTCTCCGCATGTGTCAAAAGGACAGATGCATATGATTTTCCTGTATTTGATGCAAGCATATTTGGAAGTATTCAAACTTGGCATTTTTTGCTTATCACATTTTATTTATTCTAGCTTACTTTTTGATTCATACATGCTGTGAATCAATCATCGATGCTACTAGTCATCGAACCAACTTGCTCATTATTTTTCCTTTTCCTGCTTTATTTGGTATAAAACACATAATTTATTTTAGGTTACATTTAGACATATTTTGTTATATATTTAAATTTATTATTAAAATTGATTCTTTGTTAATGTATGCTGTATTTCAGCAGACGTTCCCATTAACAGACAGCTGCTTAATCCTTAATCTTAAAGTAGGAAATTAAATGACTCTTGTTTAAAAGACACTCCCTGGTAATGGGCAAAATATAAGTTCTATAGGTGACTGCTAATGAGAATTGGTCTGCAAATGAAAATACTGGAGTTTTAAAGTTATTTCTAATGTAGTTTTCATATTTAAATTTTCTTTGTTAGAAATGGATGATTGTAATAACAGCAGTGATTGTGGAAATCCTGATCTTAATGAATGTGAGTATTTATTAAGGGGGGAAAAAGTAAATTATTAAGGTTTTGTATACTTTCAGATGATAGTTGGATTGGATGATTTTGAGGAGGCTCACACTTTTGCAGAAGTGTTTTTTGCTTGTTCCATTAATAGATCCATATCTTTCTATTCTGTTCAACATGACAGGGATCAATAGTATTAAGAGAATTCTGTGATTCTTGGAGCAGTTTGTAATGATGTTATAAATATGGCAGTGTCTGATGCTGAATAAATATACGTATTACAGCTGTCAACTTTTTTTGATTTCTCATGACATTGTCTAAGCTCTAAATAGATCATTGAATCTCTTGGTTGTTTATTTTTAGCCTTTACTAAAGAAAACCACCAAGAAAAATGCTTCTCAGCAATAAAATTGAACTCCATTCCCCACCATGAATGATTTTCAGCATTAAATTTCATTTGCTCTGAATTATTCTAATGATTTTATGAAGATTCAAGCAATTTTTATTCAGTTAATATTTGTATTAAATTTTGCTTTATGTCAGTATATGGTATATTATGAAGTTTATCCACACCATAATATGTGTATATTAATTAATTTTATTTTCATCTTATTCAAAAGTAATTTGCTAAATAAAAGCTTTTCTTTTCTACTCAGGAGTATTAGTCAAAATTTAGGTTACTGTTCCATTAGCTAGCCTGTAGTGGTTACCAAGCTTTAAATTTGGTGCTATTCCATTAACAGGATGCTTAACCACCAGAAATCATGCATGTTCTTGTGAAATGAAGCGTTGAAGAAATAAAGAAGAAAATAATGAAATAAATAAGATAGTAAAGAAGTAAAAGATCGGTTTAAACAGTATTGCTGGAAACATTTCCATTTTAGGATGCAAATATCACCTCATAAACTTATTCATATATGATTCTAAATGATGGTAAGCAATTCTGTGCTGATGTACATTGCATCATTTTATACTCTCCACAACCACTCTATTGTTTTGGTGTGATATTTAGTGTAAGGTTAAAAAAATTGGAAGTGTGCTTTATGGTGAAGTGTTAAAAAAGCATTTGGCAGTTCATCATTTTGTGTTTTTCCCAACAATTAAAAACAACAACAACAACCTGTGATGTCTTCTTCTATTGTGGCCATTAAAACTTTTAGTGTGCAATCAAGAAAACAATTTTTTGTTTCCCAACATAAAATACAGAAAATCCATTGAGGGACAGAATAGTGTTGTTTTTCTTTGAGTGAAAAGTCATCTATTTCAATGTTGTTTGCTTCCCCAATTTTGACAGTAAATCATTGACATAAAATTTTCTCATTAGATACTTCAGTTAACAGTTTTGTTATGATTTATTTGAAGCTGGAGTTTGCAAAATTCTACTGACATCAACTCTTGGAACCACAAGTATGTAAATTGTAAAGTTGTAAGAAAAAGTACTTGTGACCCAATAAATCATTTTGAGTTTGCAATCCTTTATTTTCTCGGCATGATCTAGTCTACATCTCCATTTTGGGGCTGACTTAGAATTCAGGCATAATTTCATTGAATGATTATTGAAACAAAGTTCTTTCTTAGCAGATAATTCTGTTTTCTTGGAACAATTTGGTGTATGTCTCTTCATCGTTAGGTAATTGCTAAATTGTAAAGATCGTCTTAATCTTTGCATAAATTAAAAAGCTAACAATATAGAGTTTTACTGGATCTAAAATGAACGAAGTATGATGAACATTGTTGATTGAACATTGTCTAAAATGAACAAGATGAACATTGTTGATGTAAAGCAAAAAACTGATATGATGATAAGCAGTTTAAGTGCATTAATATGCTATATCCATAATTTATATCTGTTTATTATCTAACTAAATAAAGAATGATCTGATCATTTCTTCTGGAATAATTGGCGAAATCTCTGCCAGCTTTCATGTTTGGTGGGATTTTATAATCGGATGAGATGTTTTACTTTCATATTTAAAGCCTGGGATTTCCCCTCTCCTATTTTGAAAGAAATCGTATATAATTGGTTGGTACCAAATAATGATAATTGTTTTTATAATTTAGAGCAAAAATTTTTTCCATTCATTTGGTTTTACTTACATGAATTCAGTTTTTTATACGCTCAAATACTAGGAATTTTTTTATCCAAATTTCACCATTTCTTAAGCTTTTCAGATATTCAAGCTTTTAGTGTACATCAGTTGAAAATTTGATCTTAATATGATGAAGTTTTTTAAAATTGATGTTACTAAATGTATAATCTTATTAAAAAATAATTTTAAAATGCCTCTTTTCTAAAATTCCGATTGTGCTACTGCCAAGGAAATGTGTGTATATAATTTTTTGATATAGTAGAGTAATACACAGTACAGAACAATAACAGTGTTCACAGTTAACTTAAAATCATGGTTAATCTGACGCAATTGGGGTGAGAACAGAAAATAAAAGTAATCCATATTATAATCAAGAGAGAAATAATATTTATAATTTACCTGTATTTTCAAGCAGTTTAATTTAAAGAATAAGTTAATTTGGATATGCAAATTTATATTAAAAAATTATATTATTCTCGTGTTTGTAAACCTAAGAATAACCAACTAAACCTTACAGTAAACTGTTAATGCAATTTAACTATGAATAGCAGTCAAAGAAAAAAAGTTGTTTTCTAAATGGTAATAAGTTTGCCACCTAACCTTTAGGTCTCTAAATATGAACTAATGGAAGGCAACCATGTCTTTTGATTTTGGTTTCTCTGGTGATGGGTATTAAGGTATAAAAGAAACAGCTTGCTTTAGAGTTAGTCTATTTAGAGAAAAATCAGCTTTTCAGACAGTGGACTTGGTGTTTATCCCGTGAAACCTTTTAATGTATATTCTTTTTTCAGGGGTGTAGCACCTTTTAATCAGCGAAAGAGATTGTGGGAAAAGGCAAGAGCGAAATCGAAAAAGCAGTCAACATCATTTTCTTCGGAGATTGTAAATGGAGTGCAGGTACTCATTTCCCTCTCTGTGCTGTTAAATTGTATAGCTTGTCAAATCATGTTTTAAGTAAGATCACTTTTTAATTAAGTGGGAATTTCATTTTATTTAGTTTTTAAGGTAATATGAAAATAAAAAAGATAACTGACAAATGTTGGGCCTATCATATAATTTTGCTGGAGAGCTTGTACTTAAAAGTTTGAAACCAATGAGACCAGGCACCAACTTGGTTTAGATGTGTATGAAAAGAACACAGACCCTTTAAAAAGTAAATGAGAAAATTGTGGCTTAAATTTTAGATAACATTTACATTAGTTAAACTCGTTGTTTCAAGCTGTTATATTAAAGCTAGAGAATTATCGAGTGGTTACAGATGAAACGTCCTCAGTTAAAATTGATGTTTGTCTGTGTCTTTTATTTTTAAATCGGGGATATTAATAATTCTTTTAATATTATTTGAAGAAAATTGATTCATTAAACATGTTTAACTTTTATTATTATGTTCTTAAACATTTTAAAAGAACGATGTAAAAGAAATATGTAAAAAATTTTTTTTAAAGATTAAAGGGAGAAAGTTAATGATATTGGCATTCAACAGTAATCAAATTGTCAAATTGACATTACTGCTTTTAGGAAATCTGAAAGTCTTTCTACATTAAAAATATAAAATAGATATAAATAAGAGTGAAACTTAAAAACTTGCCAGTATTGTACAGAAACCAGTCAGATGTAGGTGTGAATGGTGTAGTGTAGCATTAGTTTCATCAACTCCTTCAGTGGAAAAAATTATGAGCGATACTTATAAATCTACATATATGGTACAGAAACCAATCAGATGTATGCATTGAATGGTGCAATGTTTTAGAATTAGTTTCATCAACTGCAGTGTAAAAAAATTATGAAATCCAGATATCTGCCACAGAAAGTAGTTTGCATCTGAAGAAATGCCTTATCATATGCTGTTGCTGAACATTACAAAATGGAGTCATTGTTTCCACCTATATGTAATTGCTTGATGTCTGCCAATGGGTCAGGGCATTCTCATAGCATCAACTTCTTTCATCAGTGGTTTTATATAGGAGGAAATGCGAGCTATTGAAAGTTAAAAGAAAATTGATTTGTTACGTGCTGTGTCATAGATTGGCAAACCATAGGAGGAGATTCTACCTGTACGTTCTGTTTATTTTTCAGGAAAGTGTTTAACACTTCGGAGAATGAGTTTCAAATGATTCTGAAAAAGATAGAAAATTATGCCATTCTCTGACATATCTGCATAAATTCAAATTCCAGGCTGTCATTTAATAAAGATGATCCCAGTCTATGAGGAATCTAGTTACAGTGATGGTGATTAACAAATTAGGTAAGATGATAATGATCACTTTTTAGGAGATGTTGAAATTGTGACATTGAGAATAAAAATTTGAAGAACCAAAGGCTGAGTAAATGAAAAGCTGTGAAAGGAACATACACAGTGAAGAAGTGAAGTTTATTAAGGTAACTTGCGCTGTTTTTCAGAAAAAAGTCTTCTGCTGTGCACAATATTCTTCTGTGATTTATATGAAGGAGCAGTGTGAAGAAGGAATGAATGTTAGATATAATCAAGTCTCATCTGTTTTTTCTGTAAAGGTATCTAATTACTATGCCTGTATGTGTTATCTTTCTTTTGTAGCACAGTAATTAATTTTTCTAAATTATATATTTTTTGGTTTTTATGCATTAAAGGCTTAAACAGATGAATTTACAGCTAAGTATTACGAGTTATAAATAATTTAAATAGATTAGTTGTAGTTGTGTGTAACGAGATGTCCATCTTAGATTCTGTAAAACTTGTGTTTTTTAATAAATTGCCAATATGGTGTTGAATTTTTGAGTTTCTACCATATCATATCAAGTCATCGGCAAATCTCTCAGTTTCCAGTGTTGGAATGTGGTTCCTATATAAGTACCAAGAAGGTTACTTATCTTAAACATGAAAACACAATGATAGTTTTCATGTTAAGCAATATTTAAAAATTTAAATGTTATGTATATGTGTGTGTGATGTTAATTTTGTATCTTTATTTTTGAATATGTGTAATTCTTGTGATTTACAGAGCTGCTAACTTTCCCAGTAAAACTGAGATACTTCTGATTTTTCTTCACATCTCGTAGTTTCCTGGGAAATCTTCAGATTTCCTGGTTTTTAAATTTTTATGAATTGAGATTATCTCATTCAAATGTAGTTCTTTAAGATCTTCATCTTGTTCTCTAAGTTTCAAGGAGGGAAAAAAAATATATATATATATATATATATATATATATATATATAAAAGTTATGTTGACAAATTCTTAAAAGAGAAAAAGACGGCAGTATTGTCATCTCTAAACAAAATACAGGTTATGCAAGTTCAGTTTTCTCTCAACTGATTTTCAGTGTAGTTTTTCCTGTTTAATTTTTTTTTTTATCAGAATTATTTTAATCTATGGTGAAGATTTCCAGAGCATGTTGTGGGGACATAACTAGCGTTTCATAGATGAGTATTTTCATTTAATTTTAAATTACTAATTTCATTTGCAGTACAAAGTCCGAAATCTGGACGTCCAATATCCGCAATGATCTAAAATCTGAACTTCAAAACCACCAAACGCATGCGTATTTGATTCCCCCCTCCACGCATAATAAAACATCTGATTCTTAATCTCACTTCGACACTAAACAAAATACCTTATTATTGAAGTAACAATCATTTTAGCATAAATTTGTACGATCAGTAATTCGGCTCCATTGTTGCATGCTTTGGCACACATTTCAAACCAAAAAATTCCACATAGGTACATCATTGATCTGACGCCAACCTGGCGAATCATTATTTATTATACTTTCCTTTCATCACCGCAATTTTATCAAACCATGACAACTTGAGTTATGACTCAAGTATAACTCAAGTTATTGTTTTGATGCCTAAACAATTTTTTTTATGTTAGTAATTGAATAATAAAGGAGTATGGTAACCTTTTATATTGACATTATGCTTGGTGATGATTACAGATTTAAGTTAAATGTGCTAAAAATGTTGACAAAAGGAAAATGCTAAAAATGTTGACAATAAGGAAAAATTTAGCTAAAATTTCTTTCCATATGCTAAAAGTAGATTTTGTTGATGACACTCATAGACCCAAATATTACATTTAAGGCTGTTTGAATTAAGAATAACTGATTTGTTATTCACATAAACCCAGAACCAGTGGCAGCGTTCGTATGGCCGCACCGAGTCGCAGAATTTAGGACCCACAGAGATTGCATCAGCCAGCAAGATACCAAGCACCGGCCCTCAATAAGGCTTTAAGTATATGTGGGAATTTATTTATTCAGAACTCTGATAAGCTTTAAGCATATGCAAGAAATAGACATAAGTATAATAAATAACTAAACTAATATATTTCGGGCTTAATTGTCTCAGTACACGATAGAAGCAAGATAAAATTTAACAGAATTGTTAACGGAATTTAACTTGTCGTTAGTCACAAAGCTCATGATGCATAGTCAAATATGTATAGTGAAGGATAACTAAATTTGATGATGATAGCCGCTTATTTTAAAGGTTTACGGATATTGCAAAACAAAGGTGAAATTTTCCAATTAACGAATTCTGTAAAGAAATGTGGAGAAGCAGTAATAAATGAAGATGATATAAAAGAAGTTTTTCATTGTGATGACAGTGCTTCTCAATCATCAATCAGTTATAAATGGTGAAATCCGTAGTATGATTCTAGATCCAGAAAATACCGCTCCCGATAGTGAAAAAAAGTGACAGAGAAGTTACTGAAAACAAGAAAACTTCGATTGACAAGGTAGTCAGAATTCTCGACACAGCAGATACAGGACTTCAAGCAGTGTAACTGAACAAGAGATTATGTCTGTCTGCAGAAGTAAAGAGAAAGTATTAACACAAAAATCGAAGCAACTTAAACAACTTACATTGAAAGAAATGTTTAATAAGGTAAAAAAATAAATATTAAGCTTTTTTTTTTTGTAAATTTTGATACCCTTTAGATATAAATACTTCATTATTTCATAAATCACGATTTCATATTTTTAATTTTATAATTTCTACATGCCTACTAGATTTAAACTGATGATCTAATATCCGGAAAAATCCAAAATCCGCAATCACTGAAGTCCCGACGAGTCCAGATTTCAGACTTTGTATTGTATATAATTATATGTACAGTTATTATTAATTTTATGTTCATCATGCTTTTAATTGCTTTTGTAAATAAAAACTTTTCTATCTTATTCAGGTTTTTATCGATGTGAAATAAAAAAAAAAAAAATACTGCAGAATCAAATGCAGTTAGCCAAGAAGCACAAATTAAGATAAAAAATGAATGATGAATTAAATATTAAATATATATCAAAGCATGGAATAATCAGTTTAATAATTTGAATAAAAACTTGAACACCAAAGTGAATTTTATCAGTGTTTCAAAGTAGCATTGCCCTGTAAAACAAAAACATCTTAGTGTTCATTTTTCCTGGTTAGCAGCTATTAATATAAAATAGACCTAATTGATAATTTTTATAAACATTTAGGCTATTAATAATAAGACACTTCTGATGTTATATGCTATATTACATAACTTGTGGAGTATATATATTTTTTTACATGCATTTTTAAATGAAAATGTTAAATTTAAAATATATCATACTATTAAAAAGTCATGATGAGTTTTGAAAAGTTGGATAATCTTCCTTTTCTTTTCATGTGTTAAATTATCAGGTCTGCATGCGAAACAGCCCTATGTATCACTCTGGAGCTCTAGCTTTTACAAATGCAGGAAATGTACCTAAAGTAGGTCAGTTACTGTCTGCTGCTTGGAACCTTACTGATACTTGCCATTTTAAGATATTACCTCCAGGTTCAGGGTAAGTTTAATTTCAATATTAAATATAATGAAATAATTCTGAAGTATTAATTAATTTTATCATTAAAAATTCATGCACTAAACAGCTTTGTGATAATTTGGTTTTGCATTTATTGAAGTATTTATTTCTTGATATATCTGACATAAAAACATATTGTTTAAAATTCGCCGTGATGTTTAAGAAAAGATTTAATCTCTGATAAATAAATAGTCTTATTTAAAAAGTTAACAGTAAGCAGGTATCTTTAATTTTATTTAAATTATATTTTTGAGAGCATTTAAAAATTAAACTTTGAAAGAAAGAGTAACTTCTATGAATAAAAAATTCTTGTTGAGATTAAAGGTACGTCTTAGTGTCTTATTAAGTTGTTAAATAAATAGTTTCTATACTGTTGGGAAAATTCTTTGAGAAAGTAAGCATGTAAACAGTTTTGAAAAGTAGTTAACCTTTTACGTTACATGCTATGCAAGCAATAGTTACATTATTGGAAATACTGACTATATCTTTGTCACATTTTCTTCTTCTATGTATGAAATGGGTATGAGAAACTCCTGTATTGTATTCAATAGTGGTAGATATCATAAAATAGGAGGTTGTTGGTAAGTTCCAATAGATGCAGTTTTTCATTTCTGCAAAAGTATTTGTGTAAGCATTTTTGCATTTGCATCAGTGTGTTGTAACATATTGAACACTTTGTTAATTAAGCTTGCATATCCAACATATTGTGTAGTATGTGCTCACAGAGCTTTAAGATCCATTTAGTTTGAACTCAAATTTTGGTTTTCGCTTGAATGTTAACAGTTTCTCCTGAACTCTGATAATTAGCAAAAGCATATCTTCTTTAAAGGGAGGGGAGATGAGTTTAAAGTTCTAAGTAATTATATATTATTTGAGTGTGTCTGGTTGTTTTTAATATGTTTGTGTTTTTAGTATGTGGATTAATATACATATGGGAATTAAAATGAAATATGCAACTAGAAACTTGGAGCAGTAAGTGAAAAGTGCACAACTGGGATCTTGGAGCATATACCGGATGCTTATAATTAAACTTCCTCTATAAAAGGCACCCTACAGCGCAAAGAGGTGAACGGAATGCAATGAAGTTTTGTATATGGGCTGTACATGAAATGCACTTGCGGAATTTAAAAAAACAAATTTTAGTTCCAAAATGTGCACCAGAGGGCACCTTTTTGGGAAAACATGAAATTTAACACAATAAACAACCAAAACGGAATACAGAAACAATATTAACCTTTATTGACTAGTTTCTGATGACCTTGTCATCGAACCACATTAAGTAAAGGTAAGGGAGATACAAAAACAGTTCAGTTTGCAGAAACAAGAACAGATTAGGATGAAATAGCACAAGAGGAATCGTGTCCAGGATGATGACAGAATATGTGACAGCACCTTCTCCGATTTACTCAAAGAAGAATGATCCAAGCATGAATGTTGCTGTGAATCCACACCAGACAGTGACCTTTGGAGACTGAAGGGGAATTTCAGTGTGGATACACGGATTTTCCTTATCCCTAATGTGAAAATTCTGTGTATTGACTGTCCCATTGAGGTAGAAATCAGCCTCATCACTCCACAGAATATTCCAAGCCCATGGCAGATCAACAGCCATTTTTTTTAGAAAACTGACTGCGAATGAGAGACGTTGTGGCTTGTCCCTATCAAGCAGCTCCTGGGTATGGCAGATCTTGTGTGGGAAGTAGTGCATTATGTTTCTGAGTACTTTTCAGTCGGTGCTGTATGCCCCCAAACTCTGATGTCTGTGACTGTGCGTCAACAGCTGTCTTGATGGCATCAACAAGTACCTGTGTGATACGTTTATTGCCTCTTCTAGGTTGAACTCTTAATTTCACCGTCTCTTCAAATTTCTTAATCATTGCCCGGGTACGTTGGTCCATGCCGTAGATTCTTTCTGCAATGAAATTCACGAGCTGCAGCTGAAGCATTTCTCTTGTTTTTGTAAAACCAGCTTCACCAATAACGCACGTTCAACTAAAGAGACCATCATCAATACAGCCGGAAACATCGACTTAAACATGACAACATCTGCAAATGTTTTATACCCTAACTTGTTTTGCATAAAGCTTTCTCTTCTTCCCAAGCATGCAAATCTTGACATTTTTCTCCTACAACTGACAGTTTTTCCCGGTTTTGCATTTTATTACTCATAATTCTTGTTCTGGATTGTTAATATTGTTTCTGTATTCTGTTTTGGTCATTTATTGTGTTAAATTTATGTTTTCCCAAAAAGGTGCCCTCTGGTGCAGCGGTCGTCAACCCTTAGAACTTCATGGACCACTAAATATATAATTTTATATTTGGCAGACCACTAATATGAATTTAAAAAAACACCGTAAATCAGACTTTAAAAACAACATATTAATATACAAAAACGATATTCAACTTTCCAATACATGTAATTCTAATTTTCATTTGTTAATATAATTATCAAAACATTTGGTGTTCAGCAGCATGCCTTTATGGAAATTTAGGCCTGATTATGAGTAACTAGTAAAACACTATTAACATTTCACCGATACACATATTTCGTTCACGTTGAAAAATTATCTGAAACGTACAAAAATCTTACCTTCTTGTACAGAAAGCTTCACATATCACTGAAAAGGAATTGTTACTCGTCATTTTTTTAAACTGAATCTTTATAAAAATAATGTTCCAATTCTTCTGTGGACCATGAAAAAGTTTTCACGGACCACCGGTTGGCAACTGCTGCTCTGGTGGACATTTTGAAACTAAATTTTTTTCCCCGAAATTCCATGAGGGCATTTCGTTACAAAAACAATATACAAAATTTCGTTGCATTCTGTTTGCACTGTAGGATGTTTTTTATAGGGGAAGTTTAATTATAACCACCTGGTACTTCTGTATGATTTAAAGTTTACTTTTCTTAGTTGTGTAAAAGGAAACTGATCCAAAATTTTGCTTGCTTCTATTTCTTTCAAATATCACTTTCAAATCTGTTTTAATTGTTGACAATCCAGATAATCTTTCTGTGAAATGCTAGATTCTTTATACATTTTAGATAGTTTGTCTTAAAAAATTAACGAGTAACTGTATTAAAAGTGAAATTATTAAAGTAATAAATACATTTTCTAAATTATTTATGCATTTGTATTGCATGAGTTGTAATGGATCTAAGTTGTCATTGTTCTGTGTAAGGGGTGATTAACTTTTCAAAACCTCTGGACATGTGCAAGTCTTGCAGATTTCTTTGCTCCTGATGAAAACTGACCTTTGTGCTCTCGAAATCGATTGAGTTCTTGACTAAATATTCGCCAAGCTCCTCAAAACCTCTGGCCTCTGCAAGTCTTGGAGGGTTTCTTTGCTCTTAATGAAGAGGGACCTGTACTTGTTTGTCCTCAATATCGATCAAGTTTTTGACTAAATGCATGCCAAACACAAGTTGTTGATTTGATAATATTTTATGTTTCACTTTGCCATGTTTCTCTTCTGTTTTGAAGTTTCGTAAATGTACGTGAAGGGACCAGAGAAACGTTTAAAAAGTTAGATTCTGCATTTATACAACATTGATTTTTTTTAAATTTAAAAATGCAAAAACATGAATCTTTGAGTTATTTAAAACTTTTTTATAATTGGAAGTATAAGTCTGTAACCAGTGGTTGTGAAAATAAAGGCTGCATAAAAACTCTTACGTGCATGGTTTACAGTTTATCAAAATAAGAGTAAATATAAATCATGGCCTATAATTTAAAAACTAATAACACCAGTAGTAATAAATTGCTGTCTTCAGTGTTCGTAGCGGTTCTTATAAGTGCTTATAAGTCCTTATATTTGAAAATAAAATATAAAGGCCCTTATAGGTGCTTACTTTTTCTTTAAAGCCCTTATTTTTTTGTTTTTAGTGCTTATTTTTTGCTTTTAGTGTTTTAAAGCCGAAACTAAATAAACAACTTTTCTTCCTAACATGGAATGTCAGATGTTGAGTCATACTCCCGGAAATAGCTTTTCCCCCTTTCTCTGCATTAACATAACCTTTGGTGCGCACAAAGAGTACAGACAGGTGCCCGTCGTTCTATTGGTCAAAGAATTGCGAAAGCAGTAGAAAATTCGGTACATTCGGCATTCTTTTCCTCCCACCAAAATACTACACACGTTTGAATTTTCTATCCAGATCTTAAAAAATTTGCATTCTCGTTCTGCTTGGTCAGTTCATATTGTGTTTATTATGATCATTATGCTTATATTATGAGCATATGTATGAATGTTTATAATAACAGTTGCAGTAACTGCTGAAGTATAGTAAACTTCCAAAAATGGTTGTGTTTTAACACAGATTAGCTTTCTAGGAATAATACTCGGAATGGCTTAAATAAAGGGAAAGTAATCGAATAGTCAAAATAATTTAATTTTTTTTTTGGCCAATACATTATATGCAAGTGCGAAGGTTGGGAGGTTCTCCCCTTTCTCCGCAAAATCTTGAATATTGAAAACTGTTAAACAGTTCGCTGCAAAACAAGCAACGGACCCTTTTTTTTTTTTTTTTTGGTCACTTTCCAATCTGGATTGAATAGGACTAAAAGTTCTGCGGTCTACCAACCCCCAAGCGAAGAATGATTCTATTCCGGAAATTTAACGCCGTCTGTTGAAAATTAGAATGAAAAACACCCCAGTTATTTAGTTCTTTATTCTCCCAATTTCCAGCAGCTGTTGATTCCGATTGCGTAATATCACGTAGGGAAGAATTATGGCACACGTATTGTGCAATAACGATGCGATATTTTGCAGAGATAATTAATTAATTTTGATGTTCTGTCCGAGATTTGTTTATGAACACTTAAAAGAGTTTTACTGTGCTTGCTAAGCAGAATATTTTTCAGTTCCATTGGTTTATTTTATATGATTGCACATATCAAAATGTCAAAAGCATTTATTTAGCGGAAAAATCTAAAGAGCGGCTACAGTCTATCCCCCCCCCCCCTCGCTCCTTTTTCAAGTTACGCTCAACTGTCCGAATATTCGCCAATTTCCAAGTATGCGGGTTAGTTAAGCTTTTACTGTTAAAGGATGACTGCATGAAGCAAATTTCTGTCTTCTGATTTCAGAAATGTTCCTCTTTTTTACTTAAATTACTTTGCTTGCAATATCTGTTAAGAGAAAACTGATATACAATGAAAATTTAGAAAATATTCAGAATTTAGATTTAAATTATTTAAATATTCAATATGAGTGGAAAAAATAAATTGTATTTATTATTAGGTTCCAAGCAATACAATAAATATGCCTTATTATTTTATTTATTTTCTCTATTTTGAACTGAAATTTCATCATTAAATCTTGTAATATAGTTTTAGTTTTCTGCATAGTTTTTTTTTTCTCTCATTGTTAAACTAGTTCTGTAAAATTGAACTTATTATTTAAAATTTAAAAACAAAAAAAAAAGTAATTATTTTCCATGGTTGAGGTAATGCTTATTCTCTCTTAATAAATACTGCATTTCTCATATTTTAAATTACAAGTCTAATTTTTAAGGTTATGCAGTTGTGTATGATGTAATTAGACAGGTGCTTATTTTTTTTCTTAAAATGTGCTTGAAAAGTGCTTATAGGTGCTTATTTTTTTAACTAAAATGTGGCTATGAACCCTGTGTCTTACTTAAGCTACAAAATTTGAATAATTTCCATGAAGCTTCTGATATTCATAGTTTTAAAAAGAGTGAATGTTTGTATTATGCACTCCAGAAGTACTGATTATTCATAATTATGTTTGAAAAGAATTTTGATGCTGTATTCTAAGTTTGCATTGTTAGCTCATTTTGATGGTAATTTTTTATTCTATGCTGTGTTTTATATAGTGAAAGAAAACCTGAAAAAGAGACCAAAGATTTTGTAAAAATCGAGATCAAAGTACCATGTCAAGAAATGCCACCACCACCCTCTCCAGCATCTTCTACTTGCAGTGAACCTGCTTCTAGTCCTTTACCACCTAGTGAGTTATTTTCTTTAGAGTTTGAATATGTATAAAAAATTTCAATTTAATATATGTTACATATGTGGGTAGTTTTTATACTTTTAATATCTTACTTTCATGTTTCACTTAAGGTCATATATTTATATGTATGCTCTGCATTTCTAGCCATCATTATAATCTGTGTAATATTAAGATATACAATTTGAATTTACTTTAAATCAAAGACTTTATGTAATGTATGCTTAGTGAACTGAGTGAGTGAGTTTCAATTTCTATTTGTAGAACGTAAACATAGGTCTAGTATGCAGACAAGAGAAGAAGGAGATCGTAAAGACGACGAAGCATGGCCTTTGAAAGATGTGATATTTGTCGAGGATGTAAAAAATGCTCCAGTTGGAAAAGTTGTGAAGGCAAGTTAATTAATACTTATAATACATAAAATCTGACTGAAAACTTTTCAGAAATGTACATATTATGCAATTAATGTTGTTAAACATGTTCAATTTTATAATCTAATATATCATCATATAAATTTATTTCATTGGTCTTTTCAATCTGCTTTTTATGTCTGGGAGGAATGCATCTCACTTTTTATTTGGTGTGATAAGTAAATTTATTGTAATAGCTGAGACTGAGAAGGAAATAATTTCATATGCAAATATTAATGAGGTATTATTGTTCATAATTGCTTCACGGGGGAGGGATTACTTGAAAAGTTACGTTTTGAAAAGAACTGTAATGGACTTCCAAAAGCATTTTTCACACAGCAATCAATTAATTAAAGATTAAAGCATACTTTAAAAATATAAATCAGTTTTGAAATTAAGCATTTAGGGATAGGTTATGATTTGTATTCAGTTGTACATAATTAATTTTTTTAATTGTGATTAGGTGTTCACTTCAATTTTGATTCTATTTTTGATTAAAAACCAATGGAACTTATTAAATAGTTAATTTTTGAGTTTATGTTAATGCATATAATCAGTAGCTACCAGGTCTTTCGATAGATCATTGAATGTACTGTTTTTTAATTTTTAACGTTTACTGGTAAAAGAATTTTTAACAGTAAATTACATTTATTAAATAAAGACTGTAATTATTAAATTTCTGATCGGGAAATGTTCATATCTATATTTTTATATTTAAATGCCCTTTCCAATTTATTGCCTTGTATTTTTCTAAGGACTTCCTCTTTGTTGGCTTGCCAGTTTGTGTATTAGTTCTATTAGTGCTGCGCTGTTTACTCCAAATTCTACCATATTGCTACAAGAGGATAAAATATTGCTTATTTTGCATTAAAAAAACAATGAAATGAGAAGTCTAATTCCAAATTGATACAAAATTTTATATATTGCCTTATTTTCCTGAACACTGAGCTGAAACAAAAATTTTAGGTTACAACAAAACTGTAACAAAAAAACTTTTGTACTCTGTAACAAAAAAACGATGCACCAAGGAGACAAAAATTGGGTGCACAGGAAGATGTCGTACCAGAGTTACGTAGTTACAAAGAAATGAGCCTAATAAGGTGTTAACCCACTTCTAGCCTGGATGCAAGCTGCCACGTGGCATGGAATAGGCTGATAAAGCTCCTGAATGGCCTTCCCAGACATGCTCGATGGGAGAAAGATCTGGCGACCTAGCTGGCCAAGGAAGTGTTTGACAAGCTGTAAGACAGTTCATAGCGACACGTGCCGTATGTAGTCTGGCATTATCATGCTGAAAGTAAGGGCCAGGGTACTGCAAAAGGAACGGTAGCAAAACAGGTCTTAGAATGTCATCGACGCACCACTGTGCTATAAGTGTGCCTCTAATGACGACCAAAGGGGTCCGGCTGTCATTGAAATGGCATCCCAGGTTATAACTCCTGGTTGAGGGCCTGTGTGGTATACAATAATGAAAGCAGAATCAACATGGTGCTCTGGGCATCTCTAGACATGTCTTCGATGATTGTCACAACACAGTTGGAAAGCGTGATTTATCGCTAAAGACTATACGTTCTCCATCAGTACCATTCCAACTTGATCAACCCAAGCACCACTGTAATCTGGCTTGACAATGTGCAGGCATGAGTGTCAGGTGGCACAACGCTCATTACAAGCGTAGATTTCATTCAATCGGGCATCTGTGAATGGTCATGGTGGACACTCGTATGTGGGCCGCACATGGTGATAGGTTGATAGCGATGAATCAGGCACTGTGACAGTTGATCTGATAATCATTCTGTCCTCCCGATCTGTTGTGGCCTTAGTTGTGGTCGACCGCTACCATCATGATGCTGAAATCTGTCTTTGTCCACCCATTCTTGGCCAGCATCTTCTAATCACCACAGTGCTTTGACTCATATGATGAGCGATTCTCTGATTTGTTAAACTCGCCTCTTTCAATCCATTGATACGACCTCTTTCAAACTCTGACAGTTGATCGTAATGAGCTTGAATCCTGCAATGAGGCATTTTTTCATTCGTTGAAAGGTATCTTAAATCACAATGCAACAGAAATTTTTAACAGTAGTTCAAGAACAGCTTATTATATACATTTGCTGGATGCACAGTTTCGATGTGCTGGAGATCACACTATTCATTCATTTAACACTGAATTTTAATCATTTGCATATTTGGTCAAAACATCTAAGCATACGAAATTTCAAAGCAATCAGAAAATTCCTTCGTGGTGCATGGATTTTTTTTTTTTTTTTTGGAGAGTGTATAAAAGGGCATAATGTGAACATACTTTGTGAGGAGGGAAAAGTGTTATTTTTATATTTTTTGTTCAAATTTTATGTTAAAGAATAAATGCAACTAATTTGGAAGTGCAAAGTGGGCAGATAGTGTTACAATAGCATACATAAAATGCTTATTTTAGCTGATAGATAATCAAACTCAGGTGATACAAACTTTAATGGATAATCAAGTTTAATTGCTAGAAAGTAAAAATTAAGTCCTCTTCCCACCTTCAAACGCCATCTACGTTGTAAAAAAATGGAAAGATTGCTAGTTTTTTTTTTGTTTTGTTTTGTTTTGTTTGTTTGTTTGTTTGTTTTTTTTGTTGTGTGTGTGTGTGTGTGTGTGTAAAAATCATGTTAGCCTTGTATAAGAAGAAGAAACTCAAACTACTGCATATCAAATTTTGTCCACGGCAGGATTGTGATGTATCAAAACTGCAGTTTATTGTTTTGCAGTGTTGCATAGAATCTCATGACTACCTGTTGAATATGGAATGGATGGATCTAAGAGGGCCATGCTGAACTCCATGCAGAATCTTAATGGCCCAAATCACTGGTGCTCAGAAAGACAGACATGTTATACTCTTGTCCTTGCAAGATCTTACAGCCACATCATGTACTCCAAGCTTGAATTGGCTCGTGTGCAGGATGACAAGTATTCATATGGGCAGTACATTTACATCTGCAGCAGCACAAAATGTTCTGCATAGTATCCATTGACATTTGAGCAGAGACAGGTGTGCTCGCAGTGTATGATGAGCGCTAATACTGGACACAGGAGTCACATCACTTCATCTTTGCAAATGATTCTTGGTTCTGTATACCATGGTGACCTTTGTTCATGATGGTTTTATCCATATGTTGCCAGATTACATTTGTCAGTGTCATACAGGCATTCTAGTGTGGAGTGTCATTGAGCATGCATTCAACTGCACCCTTGCCAGCATGTTCTCCAGATCTCTTTCTTATCCATTGAGATGTCTTTTTAAGGGTTGCCAAATGACTTGCATCCTACTACAATTGTTGAAGTCTGGTATAGAATTGAGGCACTTGGAGTGAAATACCTATATCTATGATCCAAACTCAGTTCGACTCTGCACATTTGGATTACAACCATTGTTACTGCTAGAAGTGGGAGCTCTGTGGATTAAATTGCGTATGCTGTGTATCCAAAACCACTAGCAAATTTAATCATGTTTTCCGTTATACTATATATGTACAATAAATAAGACTTTATTTCCTGATGTAGCAATTTTAACGGACGCATCTTATCAAGCATTAATGATATGAGTAGTATTTCAAATTTCACCATTGGCTGCACCAAAACTGCTATAAAAATTGGAATATGTTCCTTTAAATATTTCTTTTTCTGAGATAAACTGCATGCATCATCTGATTTTTTTTTAAAAATATGTTTCTTTTTCCACTATGTAGAGTACTGCATTGGCCAAGTGTTTAAGGAAACTGAATATGTGTAGTTTATTTTAAATTCAGTTCCTGTTGAATAAACTATTTTATGAAATTTTCTGCATTCCCTCTTATTTAAGTAGTTTATTTTAAATTCAGTTACTGTTGAACCTATTTTATGAAATTTTCTGCATTTCCTCTTATTTAACGTAAATATCAGTTTTTTTATAGAATGTTGCCTACAGTGAGATCCTTCTTAAGACATTAAGCTTTCTCATACTTTGCCACAATCAGTTAGCCTATTAAATCAACAGCTGAAACAAACTTAAATTTTACTTTATCACTGGAGTATGGAATGTTTTTAAAGATGAAAAATAACAAAAGTTAGAGTGAGATATTTTTTAATTTCCAATTTTTGCTTATTACATCTTTAAACTTTTATGATTTATGTTCATTTTGTTCCTTAATGTTAATTATTATGTGATATTTTAAGTTAATTTAGTTTTAAGATTCTTATTCCTGTAATTGTTGCTAATTTGATTTATTTCTTTCTAAGGTTGATGGCGCTTATGCAGCTGTTCAGTTTCCATCTCGAGAATATTCATCTGGAAATGGACGTTCATCACAGATGCAATCTGGATCTTCATGTGATGATGTAAGTGTTTTGCTTCAAGAGTGCAGGCTTTTGCGTAAAGATGAACTTTTGGTTGTAAAGAGTGGTAATACACCTCGAGTGCCTGATTGCTTTCAAAGATCACCTAAAAAAGTGAATATAGCGGATACTAGCTCAATCCTGACTATGGCTGTAGATGGACAAGGTAAATTAAAATATTGCTAGTTTTTAAATCTAATACATTGTATTATATTCATGAGAGTACTTTGATGGCCTTTCATATTTATTTTTCATATTTTATTTATGAAATTCTCTTTTTCTAGGTATTCATGCAGTAGTAAAGAATGGTGAACGTTTGAGCTATGTTTTGTACAACATTTCTACTGGAAAAGCTTCACAAGATAGTCCATTCCCAACAGATACACAGTCTTTTCTTGGCCAAGATCTCAGACTTATTTCTTTTGGAATCAGTGGAGAAGTAAGATATGTATTTGTAGTACCATATACGCTCGTGTGATGTCCACGCTCATGTAATGTCCGCACCCCAACTTTACAGATAAAATTTATGTTAAAAAAAAAAAAAAAAAATTGACCCCCACAATGTCCATACCCCCAAAACTAAAGAATTTCTTACTTAAAAAAAATATTTTTTAACATCGCCTTTTCCCCTTTAGTCAATAGCATTAGTTGCTGAACATCTTTAAAGAAAGAATATACATTTTGCCTTTCGTTGGCACCAGAATGGAAAGCAGAGACTTTCCTTGCATATTGTTGCAGCTATTATTCAGTCATAACATCGGCGCTAGCAATTCACTCAGCAGATATGCTAATAAATGAAGGTAGTCCAAACAGGTTTTCACCACCTGGCTTCCAAGAAATACTGTTTTGTAATAAAATTACTTTCCCCTCCTTCCTCCTTGGAGCATTCACATATTACGAGCTTTCTCTTTCATTACACATATTTCGAGCATATATTTTCTTCATTCACATATTTCGAGCTTTCTCTTTTCATTCATAGTATCATTTGAAATTTGTGGTAGTTAGCAAGTAGCGTGCTTGAAATGGGAAAATACAGCAGCTATACAATGGCTTTTAAACTGAAAGTCATAGAATTTGCGTGGGAAAAGGAAAAAAAAATATATATAAGGTGGACGAAAAGTGTGTGCGCAATTGAAGCAAATAGCATGATCAACTGGAGGCAACGAACAAAACAAGACATGCGTTTCGTGGTTCAAAATGTTAGTTTCCGAACTTAAGGAAAAAGTAGTTGCGTATGTTCATGATACATGTGCTCCAGGGTACGCAGTAACAAGGGAAATGTACCAAATAAGAGTGCTTGCTGTGGCATGAGAAAACATTCCTACATCGCAGTTCAAGGGGACTGAAGGCTGGTTGTGGTGAATGATGATAAAAAATGGATTTTTATACAGTGCATCAGAACAGTTTTTTTTTTTTTTTTTGTAATGTGTGCAAGATATTAAAAGAACCAATGTTTATTTAATTTGTGTAAAAGTACATATTAAAACTGCAAGTGTTGGTTAATTTGTGTCTCTATATTGTGCTCCTGTGCAAACTAATATGTGCCTAGTGTTGAGAACGGAAATGAGGTAATTTATATTATATATGCGGATGAGAGAAAGTGATTTTGTAAATTTTAGGTAACTATTGGACAACTGTAAATTTGATACTTTTATTACTTATGCCATTTTCTTCCACTTAGAACTTAGAAAATGTCTGGCTGTTTGAAATGAAATTTACACCCCAAAATTACTCTCAACAAAAAGCGTGACATTTGAACGACTCATGTAATGTCTGCACCTGCGTTTTAGTGATGTAATTTTAGTAAAAAAAGAAGCAGACAATATGTGAGCATATACTGTAACACCTAACACAGAAGTGTCTTGACCCTAATTCATTTATGATAAAAAAGTAGTAATTTTACCTTTTTTATTATTTTTTATAGTTTTAATTAAGATGATAGTTCACAGTAGACAATGTGCAAATGTTTTGTTGAACTTTCTCTCTCTTTTTTACTTGCTAAATATCAAATTATTGCTAAATATCATGCAAAGTCAGTTAGTTCAATGGAAGAGTGATTTAAAGGTAATTTGGTTCACTGCTAATTAATCAGTGTCATGAAATCTGTTTCTTTTCTTCTGGGAAGAAGGAGGAACTAGAGTGGGAGGGACAAGAACAAAATAATAGAAAATTCAATGGGTTGAGCAAAGAAAAAATGAACATATCACCTTCTTTTAACAAAACAGTAATAAATCATGAAAAAATTAAGATAATTATAATTTTGAAAGCTTTGGGAAGAACTGGATTGGAATTAATATCATTATAATTAGACAAGGTAAATTTTTTTAATGTGGAAAAATTCAAGGAAATCCAATACACTAACCAATGTAACAGGGATAAACAATTTTGAGAAGGTTGCATGCCTTTAACACGTTCCCTTGGGACTATGGAGGTAGGAAATAAGAGGCCCAAACTCGTTTCTCACGTGCACTGTCTTGAAGCAGTGGTGCACTTTTCTTTGAGACCAAAACATTCAGTGACTACCATTAGGATCAATATGTTTTGTCAAAAATCAAAGATAAACGTTTATTTATTAATTCATAAATATAAGTATGAATGCACATATTTTCTTTTTCTATGATGTTTCAGAATCCTAAGTATGTGAAAGAATACATTTTTTAATCAAATAGTATATTTTTACGAGAATAGTTTGCTCAGAACAATTTTAACTTGAATGAAATGTTTTCACAAGTTTTTGTTAATTAACATTAGAAAGGAATTTTAAGATAGTTCGATTTTATTTAGTAAACAATTACAAAAATTAAAATCGAAGTTAATTGCATTATTAATCTTACAATTACAAAACTTCACAGAGCTTTGTTCTGGAACACTTTCTCAAATACAAGATTATTTTCATCTTCTGAGGCATCTTTTAAATAAAAAAACATAGTCACTTTATAATTTATGCTCTTTTCGGTTAATTTCAAACCAGGTCATCTTTCATTTTAATTCTGAAATGCATTAAATGTTACTGCTGATTTCTGATTTCCATGTACTTAACTTTCTATGAGTATTTCTGAAAGGGATTAAAAAAGGATGGGGTTGTTAATATTATTTAAACCTTGTAACTGAGTTATTATAAAATGTAAGGATGTAATTTTTTTAATGCTTATCAATTTTTTAAACTCTTTATTTCAACAATACTCATTCTAAAAATTCTACTTCACTACTTCCTTAAGTACGCATCTCATAGACTGTGCTTACAGCACCTTTTAATAGATTGTCTTCTAGTATGAACAATTTTTGCTTATATAGTTTTATAAATAATAAACACTTTTGTTTGCAATTAAATGTTAAGGTCATTATATATTTAGATAGTTTTTGTTATCATTATAAATTTAGATATGTTTAGTAATTAGATTTTTCACAGTAACATTCACAGAAGTTTATGAATAAATAAATCCTTCATTTTTAAATACAAATAATTTAATAAATATATATGTATTTTTAAAGCTAAGTGCATGCTGTTTATAACATTGATAAATACCCATATATATTAAATATTTTTCTTCTTTTGCATGTGCCTGTGCATTCACTATATTTTTCGAGTAAAGTAATTTACAATAATTTAGCATATATCAGAATTTTTTTGTAAGAAATATGTATAAATAAAATGAAAATACCATGCATTGTTTTTAATGTGAACTTAAATGTCAGTTTTCCTTTGAAATTCCTCCACAAAAGCATTCCCCCTCCTTAGGCAGATAGCCCTTGCATGCTTTACTCTATTTAAAAAACTTATTCTTACCTGTGGGCTTAATTACAAATATTTTAACGTCCATAATTTTATATTTACATTTAGAAATCATGTTTCAAACTTTTGACTTTAAACACATTTTTAGATGCATTCATTGTAAAATTCTAATTTTTTAGTAAATGCATTTTGGTAGAGCATTCAGTACCTCTCTGAGCTAATTTAGCCAGATTAATAGGTAATTTCATTTTTCAGTTAAGATAAATAAGCCCAAAGTAGTTATTTTTCAGGTGTATAAAGATAAAATGATGGGTTTAAAATGAGCAATTATTATGCCTTTCTCCTAAAAATTAAAAGTCCATATTACTACATTATGTGCATGATGAAAAATGTGTTTTATATAAAAAATTTTAATATTTAGAACATTAAAGAAAAGTGGCAAATGCACTAACAAGGGCATCGAAAGTACAAGTAACCGTCATAATAACATGGTAGACAGGCTCTTAGAAACCTCCATGTTGTGTGAAACCATGCTATATGAGACCCAAAGCCAATGCAAAAAGGGTGGTTACATTCCGAAAACTTATTAAAAATAAATATTTTTTTGTAATTTGACATAAACAACCTAATTTTTATTAACCCTCTTGCTGCGACGATTTTCATGGGCAACAACATAGAACCACCAAAATTTGCACAACCCTTCAATTTCTGTGGGGATGCATTTTTTCATCTGTTTAACTGTGCAACTCGCTCTTTTCCTGCTCATGGTTTTATTTCAGCTTTTCTGTGATGATTAATTGTTTATTCATATCTGGGGTTAACAAATGGTGGTAGTTCTGGGAATTATACAAGCATGTTTTGTACCATTTTGTGCATTCTTTTCAAAGCTCAAAGATATCTGACAAGAAGCATTTTGTGAGTTATACAGTACAAAGTCCGAAATACGGACTCATCGGGATTTTGGCAATTCCAGATTTGGGATTTTTCCAGACATTAGATCATCAGTATAAATTTAGTAAGATGGCATGTAGAAATTATAAAATTAAAAATTTGAAATCGTGATTTATGAAATAATGAAATATTTATATCTAAAGGATATCAAAATTTAAAAAAAAATCTTTCAATGTAACTTTTAAGTTGCTTCGTTTTTTGTGCTAATGCTTTCTCTTTAATTCTGTAGACAGACATAATCTCTTGTTTAGTTACATTGTTCTGGAATTGCTGTTTTGAGAATTCCGACTAACTTGTCAAACGAAATTTTCTCATGTTCAGTAACTTCTCTGTCTCTTTTCCAGTAGCGGTATTTTCTAGATCTATATCTACTGTACAGATTTCGCCATTCGTTAACCGATTGATGATTGAGAAGCATTGTCATCACAGTGAGACTTCTTCTATATCATCTTCATTTATTACTGCTTCTCCACATTTCTTTACAAAATTTGTTAATTGGAAAATTTCACCTTTGTTTTGTGATATCCGAAAACCTTTAAAATTAGCATCATCAAATTTCCTTCATTATACATATTTGGCTATGCATCATGAGCTTAGACTAATGACAAGTTGTTTCATTAAATTTTATCTTGCTTCTATCGTGCACTGAGACAATTAAGCCTGAATTGTATTAGTTATTTATTATATTTTTGTCTATTTCTTGCACATGCTTAAGATCCTTTATTATACATATGGTTATCAGAGTTCTGAATAAA